TTAAATAAATGAGTTTCTTTTAGGGAAATTATTGCTCATAGTAGTTAATAACAGTTACTTAATATATGAAATAAATTTACAACAAGCACACACCAAAGATTTTAAATAAACTGTGAATGTTCAAATAGAAGAAAAGTCACTGAGGACTCTGACAAATAAACAAAACAATATAATAACATTTGGGTTTCACCTGCTATTGTGACAATTTAGAATATGAATACAGATATTAGGGTACCATTGTTTACAAAATAACATCAAAAGTAAAGACAATCTTCAGAGAGACAAAAATTAGTTTGTTCATGAATTTAGAAGTGTGATTTTAAAATTTATTGAAACATTCATCTTTCATTATAGGAAATAAGTTATAATTGATATATTTATGACCCACATGCTAAAATTTAACTCATAAAAATGCTTATTAGTTGTGCTCAAATATATTCTTGATGGTTAATAGGGACACAAATTCTATGTAATCTGTCATGTTACTCCTTAATTAGAACTCAGAGTGATTTTTAACTGTTAAGATGATGGTGATCATAATTTATACTTCTATAATAAAGCAATCAGTTTAATTCTGGAAGTGAGGTTTCCATTGAACTTCCTTAGAAAGTATATTTTCCCTACCATTTTACAATTCCGAATGAAAGCATTTCTAGACCAGACTTCCCAAAAGAAGGAATAGCCTCTTTTTAAATGTAAATAATTTGATTCTTCAAAATATTGTTAAATAAAATATTTATTATCTGGAATATATTATATTATATAATCTCATTCCAGAGTCTCAACATAAAAGCAATGATAAGACGTAACATTTCTATGAGACCGTTCATTGGCCTAACCAGGCAATTCAAGTCTCTTTCACTTTGTAGTATACTAGTTGAACTACTAAAACCTCATTGTTGTATCTTTATTTGGATGATAACTGCATGTGCAGTGTCTTTTATGTAAAAGTATCATTTAAAAACCATAATAGTAATGACATAAATGAATAATACACATTCAATTAATTTATATGTTATTTTCAGTTTAAAATGAAGATAGTTAAAAATTTAACCACTTGTTATTGTTTCTGAAATATTTGACAATCTTTTCTTTGGGGAGGGACATTTTTGCATATTGGTTATTCTTTTAATTGCATGTCATTTAGAGGGGGCTGGAATGATAGCAAAGCAGGTAGGGTGTTTGCCTTGCATGCAGCTCACCGGACCGACCCGGTTCGATTCCTGCCCCTCTTGGAGAGCCTGGCAAGCTACTGAGAGTATCTCGCCCACATGGCAAAGCCTGGCAAGTTCCCTGTGACATATTTGATATGCCAAACACAGTAACAACCAGTCTCACAATGGAGATGTTACTGGGCCTGCTCGAGCAAACCATTGAACGGGAGGACAGTGCAGAGCAGTGCAGTCATTTAGAGGCAAATTCATTGAATCAAGGTCACCTAATATGACTTTCTTCAACAATGCCTTGATGTCTTCATCAACTTCATCAACATCTACTGAATACTTATTATATGCACACACTTGTACAAGTTCTTCAAAAAATTTCATAAGGATCTTAGATAGAAGTAAGTGGGAAAATATTATATGCATACTTTTTAATTTATTGTTAGATTTTCCAGCTTTTCACAGATGGACTATGGAAGGATAGAAGAAAATTTTTAAAAAGTAGAGAAAGATGTTGGACTCAAATGACAATAAGATCTTTAAAGTTGCTTTATTGAATTTGTTCTCTGCCCCAAAATGTAACAAGCTATCAAAGCTTTCTTAAAATGACTATTTAGTTTATTTAGCTAAAAATAAGTGAATAAATTACTAAAGGTTAGGTAGAGGGAGACAGTAAAAGTGAAAGGGAAATGGGACTTCAAAGAGCATGTACATTTTTAAAAGGAATACCAAAAAGGATATTAAAAGTATGCAAAATTTAAAACAAAGTAATAAGTGGAGGTTAAATAAATATGATATGTATATATATGCAAATGCAAAAAGAAGAACCCTCGTATGTGGCAGCAAGTATTTTAATTTTGATATTCCTTGCTTCTCACTATAAAATTGCAGATTTGAGAGTGAGATGCGTTCATTTTACACTCTGCTAATCCAGCCCAATCCATGTCATTGCTATAGGCCTTCAATTCCTACCATAAGTGATTTCTGAGAACAGAACCAGGAGTAAGATCTGAGCACCTCCCAGTGTGGTTCCCAAACAGAAACAATGAAAGAATTGTTCACTTTTTGGAGAAAAACATTTCATAGAATTCTCATGTAAAAGTTTCATTTTCTGCTGTTGCTTCTAGATAATTTCTATATAAGAGGAGGTGGGAATTAAAGGCCTGAGGGCTCTTAAAGTAGAGGAATTTATATTTTTTGGAACTCAAAATCTTAGTCTACTAATTAAAATTTTTCATGAGATGGATAAATGAAGAACATATGATTCATCATAAATAGGAATACATAGTTATAGCTTTGGACAAGGTATACTAAATTTTTACTTATTTCAAAGTAGGAGATTGATTTTACTAAATTATGTTAAAAAATTAATTCCACCATTAACATTTATCCCTAACATAAATTTTGTTTAATCAATATTTCTTATATGCAATAAAATGCACAGGGTTGATATACATATTTCCCTATAAAACAATGTGAATTAAAAATCTATTAAGAATTTTGAAAACCACAAATTTATTTATTCAATATAAACCTAAAAGTTCAAGATTGAAAGTTCAAAATCAGCTTTAAAACCTACTTGTAGGCTTTCAATGCATTATTAATTAGTCATATTATAATTTTGAAGATAACAACAACCTGTATAAAAAAAAGTCTAAAAAGTCTTAAAACATTTTATGAATAAAGAATAGAACACTACTTCACAATAATATTCTATTCTAGTGGTATTCGACTATAACCATATTATTTAATTTCGCATAATTAGAAATATATTGGTTTGCTCTCACATAAATTTACTGGGTTATTAAAATCACAAAATTTATTTATATGAAGTACTAGTCTTAGATATATCTTAACAAAATATTCAAATTATACTTGTCCTATTTCTTATTTGATCTTATTAGCTAATAAATACAAGGTTAGTGCTTTACAATTTTAAATCTAAGATGATTTACTAACTTAATATAAACAGAAGCATTAAAATGTTTTTTTACATAAGCAAAAAGTCTAAGATTTAGTATGAAAAAGTTATTTTCAAAACTAATTATGAAATCATTTGGAGTAAGTTCATAACAGTAAGAGCCATCCAAGTCTTTTGTCTGCCTGGATGAATATTGTAGGATTAATGAACTGATACCAACATGGCGGTAAGGCTAAATAAAACAATCAATACCTAAATCTCTTATCTATTGTTGTCAACACTTTATATTTTTATTAATCTTCTCTAAATATGCGTTGACTATTGGCAAGCTCCCCGTGATGTATTTGATATGCCAAACACAGTAACAACAAAGTCTCCAATGGAGATGTTACTGGGCCCGCTCGAGCAAATCGATGAACAACGGGAGGACTTTACCTTACCTTTACCTTAAAAAATTTATAAGTACAAGTAATCAATAGTTTTATATTATAGAGAAAAATAACTGAGGTTAAGTGAGATAAAAGCACATCAATTATATCACCTATTTTAAAGGTGATCTTATAAGGTATATATTAAGTAAATTTTATATACTTGCTCAGGAATTTAAAAATTTCAACATTTTTTCACATATTTTTAAGTTTCAATTTTTTATTCGTTTTCTATGCAAGCCAATCTAATTAAATCTTCACTTTACAGTAATAAAAACTGAAGAATCTTGTCTCAAAGGACAAATGGGCATCAGGATCTATGGTTATTATCCTCTGTATTATTGGGACTAGATATCTACTCTAAAAATAAGTTAAAAAATTTTATTGAATGTTCTGTACACAAAGATGCTTTTAAATAATACTTTTTTCTATGTGATGCCAATGAGATTTTATTTTAAAAAGCATAAATATAGCCCTCATCTAATCATTAAACTTATCTGAAAGCTTACTCGCAGTTTTTTTTATCTGAAGTACAAGGGATTCAACTATATCTTTATATATTTATATAAAATTTTAAAGTACTGTTAGGAATTTAATTTAATCCCAAATTGAGGAGGGGAATTACCTTAACTTCACTTCTTAAGGCAATACTAATTATTGTAATAAACAATGAATATCATAATATAAATACGCTACCGAGAGTATTCGATATGCCAGACACAGTAACAACAAAGTCTCCAATGGAGACGTTACTGGGCCCGCTCGAGCAAATCGATAATCAACGGGAGGGCCTTTACTTTACTTTACTTAAACATTAAATAAGAGGAAAATAATAATTGAAATTATTACCTCTAAGTTAACGTTCATGTTTATGTTTTGTAATTCTATGGTCAAAATTTATTAAATATATTTGTGGTGATATAATTATTATGCATATATAAATTTGAATATAATGCATTATACCTAGTGTTATGGTTTATAACACTGAAATTTTGGATTTCGGGGAAAGTCATTTTCTGAGATCACAGTATAAACTCAATTAACTTACTTCTGCTGTTCTTTCTTCTATTTTGACTTTTACATGTTAGATTTTAGCAGTACAAAATTAGTTTGTCACAAAATGAATTGTGTCTTGTTTATCCTTTAAACTATGCTTGTTAGGGTAATGCTAAAAACCAGAATCAAAGAGGAAAATATCCCTCGAGTCCCTGGTTAATTTTGTTGTTCCCCACAGTCTTCAGCATTTCTTCTGAAGCAATTAAACAGTCTGTGGAATTTTTCTGCTTTGAACTTATATTTTTGCTTTACAAAAGAACAACACCCACATTACCTCCTCACATTCTCCCTGGCACAGAGAAACAAACATGAACAGTGACAGAAAGCAGTAGATTTAATGGCTATTGTCTTCCTCCTGTCTGAATCCAGTGCTTTCCTCATGTTGTTGTCTTTCTAAAGCAGATTATGTCAACCTCCTTCATTTTTTTTTACCTTGCTCCACTGTCTTGGTTATTTTCTCTTCCTTCTTTCCAGGTACAGCTGCAAAGCAGAGATAAAGTTTAAATAACAGATTCAGATTGAAATGCGGCGTCTGCTCAAAAAAGTATTTTGTAACTCATCAACAGCAAATACTCTTTCTAAGAATGCTATTGAAAACTTTTTCAACATTTCTCATTTCTCTGTGATCCTATTGAAATCTATTATAAGTCTATTCTTAAAGAATTATGGAAAGAGAAGTAATCTCTTGCCTCTTCTGACTATACTTTTCACACTTTTTTTTACTTAATTCTTTTGTATTCTGATAAGCTGTACAAAGAATTCCACTTGACAGGATTATGATTAATCGAGTTACATTCCAAGCTATTGCTGGAGTTACTAAGTGTCTTTAAAAAATGTCAACTAGATGCTTCTTTTAAATTCCAGCTTAACAAAGCTTAGTCAACTGAAAGAGCAGTGTAATCATGCTTGAGATCATTTAAATAATAAATAGAGTCATCCCAAATCACATGTAACCCAAAGAGAAATTAGATTCATATTTAAGTGCTATTTTCATTGAACTTAGCTTTCTCTACAATTTATCATCCTCCACAGAATACTTACATTTTACCTAGTGCATACAAAGAAATAGAAATTATTTTTGTAAAATCAGTATGTTTCTAAGGGAACGCAGTTGAAGTAATTTATCCAAATAAAGATCTTCAGGAGATATGGATAATTGTTAATGCAAGAATTGATGGTGAACTGAATATTGCATTACCATCTTATTCAGGCATTACTACACGGTGTTGCAAAAGTGGAGGAAAATGCATCTTTGCTGGCAGGATGGCAGGTGTACATCAAGCAGTGCTCAGGCAAGGACACCATATGAGGTGGTGGGGTTAAACACATAAAGGACAAACTCTAACTTCCTATACTATCTCTTTTTTTGACACCTGAAAATGCACATGGCGTGGGGACAGGGCATTGTCACTTCCAGTGATGCTCAGACCTTACTCCTATTATCTGTGCTCAGAGGTCAATCCTGGTGAGGCTCAGGGGCCCATATGAGGTACTGGGGATCAAACCTGTGTATATTGCATGGAAAGCAAAGACACTATCCACTGCACAATCACTTTGGCCCCATGAAAATGCAACTTTTAAATATAGAAATGTGGTTGTCCCTCCAACTTAACCTATTAATAAAATTTTGGATGTTCATTCATCATTATTTGTCTACAATCTTGTGTTTCCTAAAAACATGTATGTGTTGCTGTATTATCACCTCTGAATATATTGCCTCAGTACCCAACTGGTATCCAGTTAAGTCAGAGATTTAGATCTCCATTGAATCAAATAGATTACATTTTAAATAGTATCTAGAACAACTCTCACAACAATTAAAAATGTTTATCTAATTGGCTTTGATCATAGCAAATAATCAATTTGATATCTTGCTTTTTTAATTCATATACTTGTTTCTTTTCCTCACCTTATTGTAGTGTCTAAAATATTTAATATGTAATACAAGTGGTTATAGAAAACACCTGTTTTCTTGATTCAATTGTCAGGTGGGAATTTATGTAGTTTTTAGTCTATCAGGTATAATATTTACTAATATTATTGTATAGACTTATCAGAGAATGGAACGTTTTGCAATTCTAATGTCAAATTATTTAAATTACTTTTACTATGCTAGGCTCTATTTTTTGTTTTTCTGCTTAAATTACCAATATTTTAGAAATTAGGTGGGTGTAACGCCTACATACTGGAAGATGGGGATCTGGGTGGAGGAGGCCCCACTCCCAATCCGAGCAGGCTTGGAGGTCTACGCCCTGGGTCCGGCACACCTGGGTTCCTCAGCCAGTTCCTTCATGCGTGAGGCTCATCCAAATGTGTGGAGAGTGGTTTTAGGCATAACTGTGGTTGGAACTGGAGGTTTTCAGCTGCCAGGGTTCTGCTCGGGGTGGGGAGGGAAACTCAACCCACTCTGCTCCGAGGGGCCGTGGTGAGGACAGCCAGGCATGGAGGCAGGAGACTGCACTGCACTGTTCTCTTCTGGGAGCAGGGTTTTATAGTCTCTGGGTCTTGGCCATTGATGGGATTACACTGCTCTGGGGGCAGTAGGTGGGTGTAACGTCTACATAAAATCTATAAAACCCTGCACAAACCCAGGTGTGCAGGACTCGGGACGTAGATCTCCAAGCCTGCTCGGATTGGGACTGGGGCCTCTTCCACCCAGATCCCCATCTTCCAGTATGTAGGCGTTACACCCACCTACTGCCCCTGGCGCCGTGTAATCCCATCAATGACCAAGACCCAGAGATTATAAAACTGTGCTCCTGGAAGCGAGTTCTTACTCTGGAGAACATGGCAGTCTACTAAAAGTATCGTGCCCACACGGCAGAGTCTAGCAAACTCCCCGTGGTGTATTCAATATGCCAAAAACCAGTAACAATGATGGGTTTCATTCTCCTGACCCTGAAAGAGTATCAAATGTGGCATTTTTAAAATCTCAGGAATAGGACGAAGGAGACGTTACTGGGGCCTGCTCGAGGCAATCGATGAACAACAGGAAGACAGTGATACAGTGATTTTAGAAATTGCATACCTAAAATAAAACCAACTTATTTGCACTCAATCTTTTGGATATTTTATCAAATTTGATCTATTACTTTTTTGTTTAGATCTCTTTGCATAAAAGAATTCACCAGTGAACTTACGTGTTTTCATTTTCTTTGGGGATAATTATAAAAAACAATATTTATGCAGATATATAGATATCAACTACATGAGAGAGGCATATATATTTACATAATTTATTCTTGATGATTATACATATTTTCTGAAAAATAATATTGTGTGATTAAATATTCTTATTTGAGGGAGAAAGAAGTTGGGCTTGTTGTTAGTGATTTTCCTGGAAGAGAAAAGAATTTATGTTGCCAAAGAAGATGTGACAAAAGGTTGGGGTTGTCTGTAGAAAGTGAACAAGTTTAGTTGGCGAATATGGTTCTTGGAAGAGATATTGAACAATCTAAAGTTAGATGAGACCTGGATCCTCCCAGGAGAAGAGATGCATGTCGAAAGTAGACTATGGACTGAACATGTTTGCCACTCAAAGCCTCTTTTGCAGACCACAACACCCAAAAGGAGAGAGAGAACACAGGGGATTGCCCTGCCACAGAGACAGGGGGGATGGGGGGATGGGGGTGGTTGGGATATTATCCATGGTGGTGGAAAATGGGCACTGGTGGAGGGATGGGTATCTGATCATTGTATAATTGAAACCAAAGCACAAAAAATTGTAAATCTACAACTTTAAAAAAATAAAATAAAGGGAAAAAAAAAGTTAGATGAGACCAATTGCAAAAGGCCTAATTCTGGTCTAAAGTTAGGACTTTAATGTATATGCTGCAAAGATCTAGAGTTCTGACAGATATAGTACATATTGTTCTCGTCTATATATGGTCTCTCAAGTCAGTTTGTAAACAAAAATCTCATCACTAGCAATTATAATAGAAAACATGAATGTATAGTCTTAATCATAATTATTTTATTCAGAAGACTTAAATATGATAGAGTGAATAAATGTTTTTGTTTTAATCTTCTGAAGAGTAAATATATTTCAGAAAACAATTGAAATGTTTTATGCATAAAGACAAGTTTTTCTTTAAGAAAGGTTCATAATTCTTTGCACACTAAATAAATAGCTGGAAGCTAGTTCCCTAAAGTATTGGTTTTTGTATCTTAAAAATAATAACCAAAAATGCTTATTATAACTATATAAGAGAAAACATTTGCATGAAATTATGATCTTTTTCATTTCTAGTTCTAATGTAAAATTCATGAAACTTAATTCAGTGAAGAATAAACTTTAAGAATAAACAGCTCTTCTAAGTAAGTAGATTTTCTTACTGCCTGGAATCCAAAGAAGATTCCTTAATCAATTTCTATTTATGTACCTGAGGGTACCTGAAAATTCTTTTACTGCTAAGATAATGAGTTCTCTTTCCTCTATATTTGGAGGAGTTTAGGAAATAAACAAACAAACAAAAAAGGATTTATATTTTACTCTTTCAGGAACCACAACTAATACAAAGAAAACAAAGTAACCACAATCCCAGAACTGATGGATTAGATATAATCGAATCCTAGAATTGAAAGTGAGAGGTTGATATTGTAGGAAAAGATGCCCACTTTTGAGAAAATATAGAAGTGATGTTAGTACTCTGACATTGAGGAATCTGGGTAAAATATTAAGGAGATTAAATATTAAGAACAATGATAGAAATCAATGAAAGTAATTTTGAAAATGAGAGAAACAATAAGAAAGAAAAGATTTCTAAACCTGTAGTTGCAATTGACTATAAAAATGACATTACAAATACCAGATAATTAAGAAAACACTTTAACTAGCAAATATGTTATACCCAAATACCATAAGCTCAGCATGATAAAGATGTTTGAAAGAGGGTAGCCATTAATTTTGGTAAGTCAGTCGCTTTTCATTACTATCTGACAAAGTAATTCATATTTAAATTGAGTCTATTTTAATCTTTCCTTAGACATATGTGTATTAAACATTTCTATATTAAAATATATATTAAACCATGTATTAATTCATATTATAATTTATTCATCAATATATTGGATTTATTTGTATTAGTGTATTAATTAATTTAATTTACAAATTGCCTGGGATTGAGCAAGAATATGCAGCATTCATGTTTAATATATTGCTACTATTTCAAGTACTCATATGCAGTAAGAAAAGTCTTCAAGAAAAAATGTCATATAACTTTTGCGTAATAGGTGTTAAAATATATATATATTTAGTATCTGAATGTTACTATTTACAATCAGTTTATTTAATCAACTTGAGATGACTTAATATGTACTGTACAAACTACTTTATTGCTAATTTTGTAAGGCAAAACACAATTTGGGTAGCTTTCTAGTTTCTTTTGATGCAAATATATAAAAATTTTGTCATGGCTTTTAGTTCTAGTATATAGAAACATTCTTAAGCATTGTTTTAAATATCTCCTAATAGATATGCCAGACACAGTAACAACAAAGTCTCCAATGGAGACGTTACTGGGCCCGCTCGAGCAAATCGACGATCAACGGGAGGGCCTTTACCTTTACCTAATAGATATTATATTCATATATGCAGTTGTTGCCTCTGATTAAATATAGCAAGAGAGAAACACTTTTGAAAGCTTAAATTCCAAGTTTTCATATATGTTCCTAAAATGAAAATGTGCCCCAAAGAGCACCCCAAGAAACATTCTAATATTCTATTATATTTACTCAAAGTACTCTTATTCGTGGAAATTCTACTAGACAGATGTGTTTTACTCAAAAGTCCTTCAGAAGATTTTGGATTTGAATGCTTTACATATTATTTGTATCCCATTGATTTTAAATAGCTGCATTCCTTCAGTTTTTCAGAAACCACCTTGTATTAGGATTGTAATTATTCTTTTTTATTTTATGATGTTAAAGGAATAAAAGTATTGGCATCAGGACACCAAACACAAAGCCTCATAAGCAAAGCTATTTTGTCTTGTGTAAGTTTGTTTCTGCATCAAAGCAAAAGTAAAATCAATAAAGACTTTTATAAACACTAATCTATATATTGTTACAAACCATAGTACAAATAAGCTATCACCATGATGTCTTTTTCTTTAAGCTGTATTTACCTTTTTTAGTTGAAGCAGCACCAGTCTCTTCTTTAGTTCGTTCAGTTTCTGCAATTGAAAATACTTCAAATTAAGAGGTAAATAGAAATAAAACATTCCAGGTTGATATGGTAAATTCTTGTAAGTAAAAAAATACTTAATCTGCCCAAAAGATGAGTTATATGGACTCTGAGATCAAAGCAAGCAGCAAGCAGCAGAGAAACTGTTCTATAAAATGTCCTAAAGTGCATGTTTTTTTTTAACTAATAAACTTTCTTAGGTAACAACAAAGAAACTCTTTCTAGATAAAAGTCTGTGATACTAAGATTTTATATTTATATCAGTAATGATCAATTACATATCTTAAAATCAGTTGGGAATCTAAATTTTTTATTTATAGTGAAGTATGACTTGGGAAAGCATTTTTTCTTTTGTCTTTAGGAAAAATGCAAACAGTGCTGGAACTCAATCAGTTCTGCTATTAAATATAGTTACAATATTATAAAATTTTCTATTTTGATATTTTCTTCAAGAAAGAAAGAGCAACAGAAAAGAGTAAATGGTTTCTCTGAATTTATCTCAACACCTAATGTGGGAGAAATGTTCCCTGAAGATTTCATCTCAAATTCTCTTAAAAGGTAAAGGTAAAGGCCCTCCCGTTGATCGTCGATTTGCTCGAGCGGGCCCAGTAACGTCTCCATTGGAGACTTTGTTGTTACTGTGTCTGGCATATCCAATACTCTCGGTAGCTTGCCGGGCTCTCCGAGAGGGGCGGAGGAATCGAACTCGGGTCGGCCATGTTGGCCGCTTGTAAGGCGAACGCCCTACCCGCTGTGCTATCGCTATTAGTACATATTTCTGGGCCTCAAACAGAAGCTAGTTAGAGTCTCCATTATCTCTAATACATAAAAAATCATAAAAATAAAAGTTGGGGCTAGAACAATAGCACAGTGGGCAGGGCACTTGCCTTGAAAGCAGCTGATGTGGGTTTGATCCCAGAGCACAGAGCCAGGAGTAATGCCTGAACACTGCCTCCTGTAGCCCCCAAACACAAACAAAACTAAATAAAAAATTAACTAGTGACTTCAAAATATTCTATATTGTAATTTTACATTTTATAATTAGAATATGTTCTTCTGGGTTTTCTTTTTCTTTGTATCTTTGCATCCTCTTCACTCATAGACACTAAGCTGCCGAACCTCTGGGACTAGCCAAACAATAGGAGACATCAAGCTGGCTTGCCCCCTGGGTTGTGTAAGACCTGGGGCAATGAGATTAATGCCAAAAGAAGATCTCAAAACTATCTCAGAGTTTAATGCCACCATGTTAGATACAAGAGAATTCATGATTGAATAAGGCAACCAATTATGTAAATATTATCTGCTTCACACTTATATCTAAGACTTGGAGCTTTGAAACTAGGCAGATTCATGGAATTACATAACCTCCAGGTGACTCATACTAGTGATTCTTAAACTCACCACGCAGTAGATTACTGTTGCCAGGCCACCCCAGGGAGGAAAAGGTGCTGTCCCTTAGCCTGATTCCCCCTGGCGGCTCGGTGGCCGTCATCCTCCAGAGGCCATTGGACAGTTAGGCTTGGGCCCGCAGTGACGAAACTTGTTGGGTCTCACGGGTTGGGGCCGGGCCTGTCCTCCCCACCCCAATGAGACCCCAAGTCATCATGCACGAACGGCTTCTCTGGCTCCAGATCAAGCTGCTCAACAGCCATGATCCCAGAGACTCAGGAGCAAATCTCAAAACCCAGTGGCTTTTGGCAGAAATCCCTCCAGATTTAAGTGTTAAAATTTTGGAATTTCAAAATCACATGGCCCTACTGCAGCCACACAACATCATATGTTATTCATAACCAGCAATAGAACACAAATTGTCTACTGTTGCCTTTTCAGCAGATCTGAGTGTTAGGATATAATCTCAAATAATAATGGTGGGTCTGGTGCCAACATATTGAATGTGATCAAAGTAGAAAGAGAGTAATGTGGAAATCATCTGCCCCACAGGTAGGGGGAGGGTGTGGGATGGGGGTATACTGGGGTTTTTGGTGGTGAAGAATGGGCACTGGTGAAGGTATGGGTGTTTCATTGTATGACCGAGACTTAGACCCAAAAGCTTTGTAACTGCTCTCACAGTGATTCAATAAATAAAATTGTAAAAAATAAAAAAAGAAAGTAAGGTGGAGTTCATCATTCATTCATTCATCATCCTGTTAATCGTCGATTGCCTCGAGCAGGCCCCAGTAACGTCTCTTTCATCCTAGCCCTGAGATTATATTCAAGGCTTTTTAGGAGAATGAGACCCATCATTGTTACTGGTATTTGGCATATTTGGTGCGCCACGGGGAGTTTGCCAGACTCTGCCCTGTGGGCAGGCTATATTCGATAGCCTGCAAGTTTGTCCAGATGTTCTGATAAGATGTAGCGCGGCCGCGAATGCGGCCGCGCGGTTCCTGGAGCTGCATTTTGTAGTCTCTGAGTCTTGGCCGCTGATGGGATTACACGGCGCCAGGGGGCCAGGTGGTGGGTGTGAGTTCATGCACAATTCAATCAGCTAAGGTAAGGTAAGGTAAGGTAAAGGCCCCCCGTTGATCGTCGATTTGCTCGAGCGGGCCCAGTAACGTCTCCATTGGAGACTTGGTTGTTACTGTGTCTGGCATATCGAATACTCTCGGTAGCTTGCCGGGCTCTCCGAGAGGGGCGGAGGAATCGAACTCGCTAATCAGTGACTGAATAAATAGCAGTACTCCTACATAAAAAAATACATATTTTTTGATTTTCTATAAGTGTAAACATCCATTTCTATAAATGAAAACTGGTCTTTGAACTTAAAAGCACACATTCAAAGAATGTTTATATTATAGGTATATAGAGGTGTATTTATAAATTTAATGTTTATGGTGATAGTTGCATCATTTTTTTCATTAATGTTTTTTGAGACACTGTGATTTACAAATTTGTTCATAATAAAGTTGCCCAAAATGGGCCTGAAAGGCCCCATCGAATATAGACCCAACTAGGAAAACCCAAAGACACATTATATTCAAAATGACAAAATCCAAAAATAGAAATATCATATTGAAAGAAGTTAATACAAGGAAAGCACATAAGATGTATAGTAGATCTTATCAGATGACTTTATGACCAGAAAATATCGAAGAACAAAATTACCACCTTATCAATAACACTCTATTCAGCTAGATTATCTTTCAGATTTGAAGGAACTATATAGAGTTTCATGGACAAGCAGCAGCTTAAGTAATTTATAGCCTAGAATCCAGTTTTGCAAGATGCTTTAAAGGTGATCTTTTAATAGGCCAGGAAAAGCTTCCCATTATGTGGCATTGAATATGATACTCACTAATGGTGCATATGGTTGTCCTCTACTTAATTAATAAATGTGGCAATTAATCATCACAAATGAACTTTTATTGATCTTTTGATAATTTTATTTGCCATTGCTCCACTACCCAGCTGCCGCCATGCTTCAGGATGCTTTCCGGACGCTCAGGCCAAGACTCACACAGAAGCCCCACAGAACCAGGTAAGTGGAACACGGAGACCTTGGACTCCAGACTCAATGGACCTGGGAACAGAGATCCGCTGCCTGCTTCCACCAACCACAAGAAACCAAGGGATTAAAAGCAGGAGCCTCAACCTACCCTGCCCTGTCTGCTTCCAACAACTGCCAGCAACCTGGGGATTCCACACAGAAGACCCACCCTACCAGCACCAGATAAGAACCCCACCGGCAGACCTCCACTACCTCCACTGTCTCTACTACCCAGTATGTCTATCACCATACTCCAAGACGCTTACCAGACAAGACACTTAATACGCATCTTCCAGGATTGCTGCATCATATTTGATAGGGTTCAAATATTGTTTGAACCATGGGAACACCTACAAGGGCAATTAGAGGCCGCGCTAAAGGCCTCTATCCCTCTCGAAGAGTCTGGAAAGCTACCGAGAGTATCCCACCCACATTGCAGAGCCTTGCATGCTATCCATGGCATATTCAATATGCCAAAACCAGTAAATACAATGGGTCTCGTTCCCCTGACCCTGAAAGAGCCACCAATACAGCAGCATTAAGAAGGATGAGGAAGGAGCGACTAATAAAATCTCAAGGCCGAACCAGTCTGCCAAAATGAAGAAAGACAAAAATGACTGTCTGTACTTTCAATGCACGTATGCTGGCATCAGATGCATCCATCGAAGATCTGATGGTACAAGCATGAAAGATCAAGTATGATATCATTGGTCTGACCGAGATAAGAAGGCATCAATCACATCACGCCGTTTCTGACACTGGAGAAGACACTGGAGAAGAACTGTTCCTTGTAACATGCAACAAAACAGGCAACAGAGGGCTCAGTGTCCTTGTCAACACAAACTTGGCCATGATCATTGATTCATTCGAATGCCTAACAACCTGAATCAGACAATTATACTTGAATAGATGTGACTCACTACTGGCAGTTTCTATCTTTGTTGTCTATGTACCAACATCCAATTATGATGAAGGAGAAATTGAGAAGTTTGTGGTTTGTGGAGAAGTTCTATAAAAAAAGACCACACCTTCTACAAAGTCATTGTCGCTGATTTTAATGCCAAGATAAGATGAAGAAGATTAGCTAAAAAACTCCACATTGGGACCCATGGCCTAGAATGGAAAGAAAAAGGTGAGAGATTGTCTGCGTTCATCATGTCGACCAAGACCGTCCATGGTAACTCACAGTTCCAGAAGGCCTAATCTAAACATTGGACATGGGAGTCTCCCTGTGAATGATTCCACAAAAAAATGGACCACATCATATTCAATTAATGGTTTTGCCTGACCAATGTCGCTGTTGTCCCAAAATTTCAAATGGGATCAGACCACCATCTGCCTTGTGCAAAATTCTACTTCACAAAGCAGGAAGAAGGGGTTGCAAAGTCTAAGAAGAGAACTCCCAGAATGACCACCAACCAATAGCTCTTTGGCACTATTGTGGCAACATGGGAAGATGCTGTCATTGACAACATTGACAAGGAATATAATCAATTGGTTCAGCACCTCATTGATTGTGAGAGAGGAATGCTAAAAGAGAGATAGCCACAAAAAAAATGGCTGTCTTTGAAAACTCTTGAGCTGATTTACCAATGTGGCTTGGCGCAAACCTCAGGGAACCACAAGTGAACATCCGAGCTCGCAAAGCAGTGCAAAGAAGCAATAAAGGAAGACCTTAAAGAGAGAAGAACAGCAGTGCTGGTAGATGTAGCAGAAGTCGGGAAAAGCATTTGCAACACCTGCCTGTCCTTTGCCAACTAGAAGACCAAGATGACTGCCCTCCGACGTCCTGATGGATCTATCAAATCTTCCAGAAAGGCACTGGAGAAGATTATCCATGACTTCTACTCAGATCTCTTCGATAGCCACCTCCAACTGCCCACATACCAAATTCTGCAGGATGTATATGTTGTTCCCAGTGTCCTCCCTTCCAAAATCTGAAGCCAACAGCACCTGGCCCAGACAAGGCCAGACGCGAGCACCTGAAGAATCTGCCGTCGGTACTCATCAATACACTGGCTTCGCTCTTCACACGCTACCTGTCTGAATGCAAGGTTCCATCCCAGTGGAAAACCAGCAGGACTGTAACTACTGTACAAGAAGGGAAACATCCACGACATTGGCAACTATCACCCGATCTGCCTGTTGTCTGTTGTCTACAAGCTGTTCACTTGAGTAATCCTGAATAGGATTGGCAGAACACTAGATGAAGGACAATCATGCGAGCAAGCCACATTCAGCAAAGGATTCAGCACAATTGACCATATCCACACGATAACCAAGCTCACTCAGGTTTCTTGGGAGTTCAAAATGCCACTCCATCTAACAATCATTGATTTAAAGGAGGCCTTTGATTCTGTTGAGACAGAAGTGGTCAACGAAGCCCTAGCCAAAAAGGGCATTCAGACTCAATACATCAGGATCCTCCCTGATCTGTATTACAGATTCATTATCAGGATATCACCATTCTACAAAGAACTGATCATCCATTTCAAGATGGGGGTTTGGCAGAGTAATACCATTTCACTGAAACTCTTTAGTGCCACCCTCGAGAACATCATGTGATGACTGGAACGGGAAGGAATGGGAGTGAAGATAGATGGTCAGCAACTATACCACTTCTGCTTTGCTGATGACATAGTTCTAATAACACCAAACACTAGCCAAGCATCACAAATGCTGGCCAACTTCGACCATGAGTGTGGAAAGGTCAGACTACAGCTGAACCTCACGAAGACAATGATTATGAGCAACAGTCTCATTCCTGATGTTCCATTCACTCTCAATGGAACAAAGATCTCCGAATGCAGCAGTTATGTGTGCCTAGGTTAAGAAGTTAATATGACGAATGACATGGCACCTGCACTGCGTAGGAAGAACAGAGTGACTTGGAATGCCTTCAAGAGCCTCGAAGAAATAGCTAAGAGGACAAAGAACCTCCGGCTCTGGGCACATCTCTTCAATTCCACTGTTCTTCCTGCATTAACATACGCCTCAGAGACCTTGGCCCTATGAAAACAGGATGAGAACGCTATTTGGGTCTTCCAAAGAGGAATCAACAGAGCTATGCTTGGAGTAATACACTTCACTCAAATAAGAGAAAGAATCTGAGTTCTAACCTCCGTTGATGGTCAAGAATCAGGGATGCTGTCTCATTTGCCAAGGCGTCAAAAATCAAATGGGCTGGACACATAATGTGATTTGGAGACAATTGCTGGACCAAAGCCATTACCGACTGGATTCCACTAGACATCAAAAGACCACGTGGCTGCCCACCTACAAGATGGTCAGATTTCTTTGTCAAGACCCTGAACAATCGGTTTGAGGCTCTTCGTGTTCCTAGAATGAGCAGATGGCATTGGGCTACACTAGCATGCAACAGGGACGGATGGAGATGTTACCGGCACCTGCTTGAGCAAATCGATGAGTAATGAGATGTCAAGTGATCAAGTGAGAAGTTGTAGTGGACCATGACATTTGAAATTTATGTTATTTGCCTGCCAAGGTGGTAAGCTGGCTGGTGTGAAGGAACCTGGGTGTATTGGTGGAAGGAAGACGATATTGGTGCAGGATTGGTATTGGAACATTGTATGCCTGAATCAACTTTATTATAAACAAATTTGTAAATCACAGTATCTCGAGACACATTAATGAAAAAAAAAGATGCAATTCTCACCATACACATTAAATTTACAAATACACCTCTATATACCTATAATATCAACATTCTTTGAATGTGTGCTTTTAAGTTCAAAGACCAGTTCTCAGTTATAGAAATGGATCTTTAGACCTATAGACAATCAAATAATGTAAATTATTTTTAATTAGTTCTTGTATTGAAGGCAGGAGTTCATATCAAATCCAATCCTCTTACAGAAAATTAAGGTGTTTAATGTTCGCTCTCTGGAAACTTTTATAATGGTAAAAGATGAAGCAACCTTATCTGCTTTCTTCTAAAAATGCTGATTTATCTGAAACTTGATTAGTATTTCATAGATAGCATAGCTCAGAGGGATTTTTCATTGCAACTGTACATTTTTATCTATGTGGGTTTGTTTCTAGGAGGAAAATAAACACTTCTCAAATAATTTTCTATCTAAATTTCTCTACCATTGCTGCAAAATTATAAATTTTGTTTTACATATTTTCTTGATTACGCATTTCTAAGTGCTAACCATTAACTTACTAAGGATGCATAATACAGTGCTTCAATCAGCTTTACATTCAACTAGAATTTTTCATGGTCATATATATGAAATTTGTATTCATTTTAAGCCCTTTTTTCAATGTTTATAATAGTGGTTGAATATTTCAAGTTGCAATTTTTAGAGACATTTCTATCAACATTCTTAAATTCTCAATAACTCTACCAATTTCTTAAAAGTTCAGCAGAAATTAAGCATGCATTCATCTTTTATATTAGTACGATCATTAATATTTATTCAGCTCTAACAATAAAGGAAAAGCCAAAGCATAATCACAGCATACAGGGAGCAAAGATTTCAATAAAATACCTACAATACTCATAAAAAGTCAAATGGTGTTCTAAAATTTAATGCAATTTATTATACCTAAAATAATAGATATAGCAAATTAAAGACAATTAAAGATACTTAGTTGACAAATAGCAATAAGGAGATCAGTATTTCTTTCCATACATATTGGAAAAGTTATTATTTATTATATACAAAAATATCAGGATGTAATTCTCAGTTAATATTTTGTAATCTGAGAACATAGGCCTTGAGAGAAAATTATAATATTCCAAAAGCAGTAATGAAATTTGAGGGTAAATATTTCATTAAGGGTAATGTCTTTAGTGGGGCGGGAGTGATAACACAGAGGGTAGGGCATTTGCCTTGCACATGGCTGACACGGCCGACCCAAGTTCGATTCCTCCACCTCTCTTGGAGAGCCTGGCAAGCTACCGAGAGTATCTCTCCCGCACAGAACAGCCTGGCAAGATACCCGTGACATATTCGATATGCCAAACACAGCTACAAGTCTCACAATGTTACTGGGCCTGAAATCAATGAACAATGGGGGGACAGTGACAGTGGCAATGTCTTTAGTAGACACACTGGGTTGCCTATTGCTTTTGATCAAATGGTTAACACTAGGGAAATTAAATCTTATGTGTCTACAAAAGCAGAGATCAGTTATCCTTCTGCAAAATGAAAACAAAAAAAACCCCATAAAACTGTTAATAATTTGAACAAAAATATACAAATAAGCCTTTGCAGGAAATGATTATGCAAGGATATTTAAGATGCATATTTTTCAAAGCAACAGATATTCAGAGCAGGTAATATTAACTAAGCCAGCCTCAAAAAAATAGCATTAACATCGCAACAGATGGAAATAAATAAATAAGCTGCTATTTTTTCAAGTTTTGTTTAACGTACTTGCTTTGACTTGTTTTTCACTTGGAACTGAAAAGGACAAGAAATTATATGGTCAACATTAAACATTAGTCTATGTGACCCTCTCTCTAATAGTCTGAAAGCCAAATAAAACTTTTCAACAGCCTCAGTGGTGTTGTTTCCTTAATATGTCACTTCATATCTCATATATGAGGGTGATCTTTTTCTTTTATCTGACTCTGTGTTTCTGGCTAACATATTAAGGAAACAACAAATGAACAAAAACAGCAGAACCTTAGAACTGGTCTATGTAAGTGAGTTGCATATGTGATGTGTGTGGGGGAGGGTGGAGAAGAGGTGTGGGGAGGGAGTAAGAGAAGAATAGGGGTAGAGAGTGAAGAGGGAACTAGAACCATGGTGGGGAAAGAAAGTGGGCAACTCTAGTGGAAAGTGTGGTATTGGAATAGTGCATCCATAAAATTGTACCAGTAACAATATTGTAAATCATAGTGCTTCAATAAAAATAAATAGAAAATAAATAAATAAAAATATGATATGACCTTAGAAACTAAACATAAGATGTCTCAGAAAAAAATAATACAATATTGTTCTATATTTTATTCATATTATTTTAGGGCATGAACCACAGATTTTTGTTTAATATTTCTCATACGTGCTCTCCCTACATATTAGATAAAGTTTATATTATTTGGTGTCAAAATAATATATAATGCATGGATTATCATTTATGATGCATTCATTTTGTCTCCATTTTAAACTACTGTGGAAACTGCTTGACATTATACATATTTTTAACTTAAAGTCTATGCAAATTATGTGAAAAACTTGATAAAAATATTAAATTTACTATCAGTGTATACACTCGAAAATGGTTGAGGTCTTTCTTACAATCATACACTGTAGAGAACAGATGACTTCAATAAGTTTGGATTATTGTTCTTTTCAAGTTCAATATTAGACAATACTGGTTTACTATTAACATTGTTAAAAGAGGTCTCAGAAATAAATACTCTGCATATTTATGCACATTTGTATGTTTTATATTACATGTTTTACTTTAGTTAAGTGCATCTGTTCACACATAAGAATATAGATTAGGACTATCTTGTGGGAATGTAACCTCTGGACTAATAGATCATTGTCTGAAAGGAAAAAAATATAGCACATTTCTTTCAAAAGGATAAGTAATATCAATTTTAATGTACAGTGGTGAAAGTATGAATATTTTAATTTATGAATTTATTGAAAAGTTTATTTTTAAATTTATGAATTTAAATTTGAAAATTTTCATAATGCTAATAATTTTAGTTATATATTTCTTCTTTTATCCAGCATGTTATCAAGTAAATCTGATACATTCTATCTATGTGCTAGATATTATAACATGCACTGACTTTAAAAAGCTTACAAAACAATATTCATCTTCTAATTTATTACTTTTTAATTTTTTTGTTTTTGTGTCACACAATGCAATGTTCATGGTTTACTCCTGATTCTGTATTCAAGAATCACTATCAGCAGAATTAGGGTACCCAATAGGGTGTTGGAGATAGAACACGGGAAGACTGTTTGCAGGCAAGTGCCCTGACCACTGTACTCTCTCTCTGGCCCCTCATCCACTAATTTACAAATATGTAAATAAAAAAGAAAAATAACACTATTATAAAGTATATCTATATATACCTTATGTATTTTAATATATATTTTATAGTGTATGTATATACTTTATATATAATTTTATATATATTTTAAAAGAGAGATGTAATTCTTTAGAAACTATTTGGAGAAACAACTTACTGGTTTTTAATTTTCTGAGCAAATTTTACATTTAGGAGAATATGAATATATTGCTTAATATGGTTTTGATGTGGTGACAATCTAATTTGTCACATGGTTAAATAAATGGAGTTTTTAAGAAAACAAATAATATCTTAAGTTGTATTGAGTAAATGTCATTTTCATGAAAATACAATAAAATGGAGTAACATTAAATAAAAACAATACTAGACCACACATACCTGTACTTTATGCATGCACACAAACACACACACATATACACACACACAAATACACACAGCACAAGAAAACAAAATGAAATTTCTTAAGTAGAAGTTGCTAAACAAAATCAGAAAGTTTAGCTCTTAAATGATATCTTTTAAAATGTTCAAGAAAATTCCATTTAGTTCTTGTTGAAACAACTAGTAAGTCAGGTTATGTGCTAGAAACATTAAGCAAATTACTTATTACGTATGTTTATCGATACTTATTGCAATTTAAACTTTTCATAATTGTTTTTCCAATTATTAAATGTGTGGGAGATCCAACAAATAATATAGGTGATAAGATGTTTGCCTTATCTGGAGATAAGGGATGGAGAGATAGTTCAGTGGGTTAATGCATTTGCATTAAATGCAGATAACTCAGGTTAAATTACTAGCACCCCGTTTCGTCCCTTGGGTCCACCAGGAGTGATCCCTGAAGTACAGAACCAAGAAAAAATCCTGAGCACTATGGAATAAGACCTCCAAATAAAACAAAACAGAACAAAACAAAAAAGAAAGTTTCCTGTATTACAGCTAACCCCCACTTGATCACAAGCCCTGAGAACCATATGGTATGGCCAAAAAGCAAAATAATGAAAATGAAAAGTAAATCTATTGAGGAAATAACCTACTTCTGCTTTCATTACAACCCACCCAAAAACTCAAGAAATATTTTAAGGTAATATGTATAGGGAAACAATATTTGTTGGAATTGAATATTTCAGTTTTTGGAGCAATGCAATGACAGATATATTTACAGAAAGTATTTGCTTTCATCTTATTTTTGTTCTTGATTTTTTTCTACACTAAACCATCAAGCAGTGTGTCTTTAATACTGTATAAGACAGGTCCACCAGGACAGTTTAAGGAAGCTGAAGATTCTGTTTCAGCTTTTATCAAGGATAGGTAAGAGATAATGTATTTCTAATGAGCTCTCCAGTAATCTGATGGTGTAGATTCACAGACTATTCATTGGGTAGCAAAATCGTAACATTTTGATTAAAGAGAGATATAATAAGGAGCAGGGTGAATGCTTTGCTTACAATGAACTCCCGTTTGATTGCCAACAACTCATCTAGTCCCCTGAGAACCACCAGGAGTGACCCCAGGAGTGGGGCAAGAGTAAGCCCTGAGCACAGCCACACATTGTCTCCAAACAAAAATAAAACAAACAAAAAAAAGGAACATTTTGGTTCTCTCCTTTCAAAACCTGTATTAGCATAAAATCTATATCAAAAGGAACTGAGATGGAAAGAACTGCTGCTTTGTTTGCTACACTCTTCACCAACTGTCTGAAGTGATTAGTGTCCTTTGAATGTTGCAGAGAAGCAACAGAAACAGTAGGCTGTATTACCTGAGTGCTCCTTTTTAGGTGTTTTTGCTGTAACAAAAGAAAAAAGGGAAAATCAGCATTTCATATGTGTAAATCTCATTTCAATAAAAAAAAATCACTAAGAGGACAAAGAACTTTGAAATCAGTTACCTGGTTCCACCTGTTTTTCTTTCTTTTCCTGTTCTGAAACATAAGCGTAATATTATTATTACTATTTTTAACACTATTAGTAGAGCTTTATTGTTAGAGTTTAAAATTTTAAAGCAGAGAAATGCGTCTTTGTTAATTCTGGAATGTAGCAACTCACTGTGACTGCCATGAAAAAGATTTATCATGGATTCTTAAAAATTATCTTTCCTTCTATTTCAAATGAGTTACCTCAAAGATAGCATGGCACTGTTCTCATATTGAGGAATTGAGAATTTTATGGAAAATAGATTTTAAAATGAAATTGAATTTTAGATAATTTTCTACTATTTCAATCAAAATGAAATAAATAAGGATATAAAAATAAGTATGGGCTGGAGTGATAGCACAACAGGTAGGGCGTTTGCCTTGCATGCTGCTGACCTGGGTTCAATTCCTCCATCCTTCTAGGAGAGCCCGGCAAGCCACTGAGAGTATCCCTCCTGCACGGCAGAGGCTGGCAAACTCCCCGTGGTGTATTTGATATGCCAAAAACAGTAACAACAAGTCTCACAACAGAGACATTATTGGTGCCCACTCAAGCAAATCATTGAGCAATGGGAGGACAGTCTACAGTGCTACAGTGCTATAAAAATAAGTATAGTCTATAATATTGTAGTTGTGTTAAAATGATTCATCATGAAAGGAGATATTGACAGAAGGTCAAGAGTAGAGGAATCTTAAACACTGCTTTATAGAGAAACTTAGCTAAAAATTCTACAAGAAAATGCTGGCTTTAAAAGATGAAGTGAAAGACATGGCCTTAGCAGTTGTATATAGCCTTCTCCAGTACACATGGAATGTTCTTCTGAAATAGACCACATTTGGGCCACAAAACATAAATCCATACAAATCAGGAAGGTAGAAATCGTATCAAGGATCCTCTCAGGTCATAATGCACTAACATAACACACATAAGTTAATTTCAAACAAAAACAAACTACTCAAACACTTGGAAAATAAACCGTTCACTACTGAAAAAGTAGTGGCTACTGAACGAGCAGTGGCTAAGTGAGAAAATCAGAGAAGAAATCAAAAGATTCCTAGAAATAAAGAAAAATGAAGATTTGAGTGACCAGAACATATGGGACACAGCAATCAAGCAATTTGCTATTCTGTGGATAGAGCTGAAAAATATCATGCTGGGCGAAATTACTCAGGAGAGTGTCAGACACAGAATGATCTTCTCATATAATTCGTATAAAGAAATATATTAGAGGAGTAACAAATACCCAAAGGCAATAGAAACTGGTCTTCAGTAGGAAGCTTAATAAAGGGGTAGGCAGATAATGAGAGGATGAGGGGCTGATACTGTGATTATGGTGGAGGGAAGTGAGCAGTCTTGTATAACGGTTCATTGCCAGAATGATTTATTAAAAAACCCTTTCTTTAACAATATTGTAAACCATGGTGTTTAAAACTAATTATATATATATTATATGTGGATCTATATATATACATATATTAAGAATACTCAATCAACAATTTGATGCTAATATATTATCAGATGTTTTAAAGAAAAGAAATAGAGATTTGTTTACGCTCACTTTAAGTATTTTGGAGACTGAATGTTTTTGCTGAAAGTACTCTAAGAACTATGTTTTGGAAATACAAACATATCTATTTTTATACTCATATCATAAACCATTCAGGTATACAATTTTATTTATCGTATTTATGGTTATCAAGGAAAAATGAGTAATTATCCACTACCAATGTAACATGTGGCAGTTAAAAAAAGAGCAACTGACTTGACAGTATTATGCACAAAAAGGAAAATAGCTTATATGATTTAGCTAAAATTAGATATAGTGAAAATTACACAAAGTTATATAAAATATAAGAATACTTAAATGCATTATTTTATTCATTGCTGAAATAAATTACTGGCTTTAAAATATCTAGGAAATTTGTAAAGCAGTATATGAAAATAACAGAAATAATTTTGGATATGCATCAAAATTGACACCAGATATATGCCAGTTTTCAAAGTTAAATATGGTCTTTCCAATAATTAAGAAGCCAAATCTGAGTAGAAAAACATCTTTGTGAGAAAATACTGTCATATAATTTTTATATGATGTAATTTTTATGTCTTTGTTGATATAATATTAATAATGTAATTTACCATATATTCTGCAGGAATTGCCATGGCAAACCTATGACTGATATTTGGAGTTTTAAAAAACTTTATTATAAAAAATTACTAATCATAAAAATTTTAAAAAATTACAGAATGGTACCATGTACTTTTTGCCCTATAATCCATAGGTAAAAGGTAAGGTAAAGGTAAAGGCCCTCCCGTTGATCGTCGATTTGCTCGAGCGGCCCCAGTATCGTCTCCATTGGAGACTTTGTTGTTACTGTGTCTGGCATATCGAATACTCTCGGTAACTTGCAGGGCTCTCTGAGAGGGGCGGAGGAATCGAACTCGGGTCGGCCATGTTGGCCGTTTGTAAGGCAAACACCCTACCACTGTGCTATCCCTCCAGCCCACTATATTTTATTTTTAAACTAAAAAAAGGTGTTGTGGTAACTAAAATAAGATGCACAGTCAGGAACCAGGGGAGAAATATAACTGAATATCTCCTTCCCCCACACCAGGCTGTCTTCACTGGGTTCCCTCATGGGGGGAGTGTTGAGTTTCCCTCCCCAGCCTGAGTAGAGCCCTGACAGCCGAAAACCTCTGGTACACAGCCGCAGCCATGCTCCAGGTCACTCTCCACGTGCTCGGATGAGCCTCACCCATGAAGGAACCGACAAAGGAACCCAAGGTATGTGGAACTGGGCACTGAGATCTCCAAGCCTGCTTGGATCGTGATTGGGCCTCCTCCACTAAGATCCTCCATTTTCTAGTAGCTTGGCAAACTGCCCCCAAAGCTATGCAATCCCATCAACGGCCAAGATCCAGAGACTATAAAATAAAGCTCCCAGAAGCGCTAGACCTCTTATAGTCTAGCCCATGATGTACCTAAAGCAGCACATATATGTTTGTTCTTAACATACTTGCTTATATTCTCTTATATACATTCTCTATCCCTCTCAGAGAGCCTGGCAAGCTACCAAGATTATCTCGCCTGCATGGCAGAGCCTGGCAAGCTCCCTATGGTATATTCGATATGCCAAAAACAGTAACAAGAACGGGTCTCATTCCTCTGACCCTGAAATAGCCTCCAATACGGCACCGTTGGGAAGGACGAGTAAGGAGAGGCTGCTAAAATCTCAGGACTGGGATGAATGGAGATGTTATTGGTGCCCACTCAAGCAAATTGATGAACAACGGGACGGCAGTGATACAGTGATATAAAGGTAAAAGGTAAAGGCCCTCCCGTTGATCATTGATTTGCTCGAGCGGGCCCAGTAACGTCTCCATTGGAGACTTTGTTGTTACTGTGTCTGGCATATCGAATACTCTCGGTAGCTTGCCAGGCTCTCCGAGAGAAGCGGAGGAATCGAACTCGGGTCGGCCATGTTGGCCGCGTGCAAGGCAAATGCCCTACCCACTGTGCTATCGCTCCAGCCCAGTGATATAGTGAACTAAAATAAGATGCACAGTAAGAAGCCTAAGGGAGAAATATAACTGCGTGAATGAAACAACCTGAAAAAACATAGCCCCCACAGAAGTTTATTCTAAAATAAATTTCTAAACAATAAAGTGTAACTTGACAATAAGCCAAAGCAGCATGTTGTTTCAATTTTTTTTAAAGTGTTAGAAGAGTTTTCTTCATACTTCATATGTGACAATTCACAGCCTTATAGGATGAGGGAAGGAGTTCATGCACAAATGAATGCTTGAGAATATATATTTATTAAATATTGTGATAGTACAAATAATTCCCAAGAGTCAGTGTGTCTTTAATAATTTTTGAATTATAGAGACAAAAATAAAGTGAGATATTTAATATTCTATGTACATATAAACTATTTAAAAATTTCTTTCAAAATTTCCAGTTATCCTCTACTTTTCTGCAGGTACAATGGTTTGTAGAAAGTGGTTTGTTTTTCTTTTACCAGTGCTTATCACCTGCAGTGTAAACACCTAAATCTAAAATTGAAAGTTCATATATTACTCTGTAGATAGATCTTACCCACATGGCTGAGTCTTGCATAATTTTGTCATTCTCTCCATGGGCAATTTTAGATTATTTCTATGATACAGAATGCTTCAGTTTTCCAAAATTCTTCAATACCAAAATGTACATAAGTATATTAATTGCATATTTTAATATTACCTTTAATATTACCGGAATCTTTTTCAAAGTTGATATTTCTAGAAATATGATTATTATTTATGTCTAATCCAGGGGGATAAGTTGGATTTTATTTTTGTATTTTAATACAACCTATTTTATTTGAAAAAAGGGCAGATATTTGTAAAAACATAATATCCAAGCACTAGAATTTAATGCTTTATTATCAGTAAAGTACTATTTTGAGTCAAACATCAGTAAATACTACATAAGACATTAAAACAATGATTTCCATATTATTCCTACATTGTTCCAATTAGCTTATATTACATATAGGAGGAAAATAAAATTATGGAAAAATGTCATCTATCAAGTGAACATGATGTCAAGTTATTTGTGTATTACAAGAAGAAAACAGAAATGTTGTAAAACTAGCATGAAAAATAACTCCCATCCAATCTTTTTTAAGGACTGAGAAGTAACCTGATTATAGGAATTATGTTTATTCCAGTATAAGACAATTTTGATTAATGGGATGGACTTGTATTTTTGGTCACAAGGCTTTGGATGGTATTATTAGATTGCATAAATTTGAAAAAGTATTAAGATTGATGGCATTCTTTACAGTCTATTATACCCCTTCCCTACACTAGGTTATGTACTCTTTTATTTTGATAAAAGAAGCAACAGATACTGTTAACTCATACAAAATGTAGAAAAGAGATTCAAAACTTCAAGTAAAGATGTACCATCAAACCAATAAAAGTGAAAATAAAAATATATAACAAACATAATCCGCATGCATTTCCTTACTTTTTCCCTTGGGTTGTTCTGCTGAAAGAATTATAAACAGAAAACAATTATTTTTCAAACCTTTAGAGATAAAATTCACTATCCTCAGCACCATTATAGACACAATTTTTCTACCCACAGACATATTATCTCATCTTGGAAGTTTTATAGTGAAAATCTTTCTAAAGCATTGTCAGTTATACTAGGTATTTCATAATTTAACAAAAATGCTAGCTAAAAATAAATTAATCTAATTTTATACTGTTTAATACTTTTTAATTATTGATACTTTATTATTAATGAATATGTTGACACATGTGAACAAGTCCAGAATAAACACATTCTTCAAATGATTTATTCTTCTATTCAAAGCTTAAAGGAGTGATTCAGTTCCTAATTGATTCTGTATTTTAAGATTAATTGAACATTTTCTGTCTACTAAATTTAATTATTGGTACAGAACACTGTTCACTTTATTGTTGAACATGTATTTATAAAAAGGTAAACATGTACAACATTTGCATTTATTAAATTACTCATAATATCAAAATGAGCAGTTTAGTTTGCATTATCAAGTAACTGGTATGCTATTAACAATATTATTATAATATTTGTTTTCTTAACACAATTCAATATTTTTCTTTCTTCTTTATCCTATATGTATATTTTCTCCAATGGTAATATTTTAAAACATAATGCTGTTTGGGCATTCATCAACTATAAAATAGAACAAAGGAAATAGTCACAATACCTTCTGAGGGTGTTTTTGTTTTCTTGGAATCTGAAAAGTATAAATAAAAATTGGTAAAGAAGACATGATTAATCAACATCTAATATATTACAACAAAAAATGCTTACACTCTAAGGTAATTTTCAACAAAATAGACATTTCATGCTAATTCATAGACTATGGGGTTTAATCATGTTGTTATGTTTATGAGTAATTACTAGAAAAAGACAGAATATTAAAAGCTCTGAAGTCTAAAATATAGAAAATTATTAAAATACAGCCACAGTTCACGTGTTTGTGCAGATTACATTCTTCCTAGGAAGGTAATCTGAGTACATATAAGCACTGTAGCACTGTAACACTGTCCTCCCATTGCTCATCGATTTGCTTGAGCAGGCACCAGTAACATCTCCATTGTGAAACTTGTTGTTACTGTTTTTGGCATATCGAATGAGCTACAGGGAGCTTGCCAGGCTCTGCCATGTGGGCAGGATACTCTCAGTAGCTTGACGGACTCTCCAAGAGGGACGGAGGAATAGAACACCCTACCCGCTGTGCTATCACTCCAGATGGGCTGGCATCTGTGAATTTAATTTTAGTGTTTTCAGTTGTCAATATGAAGTATTGCTGGTAAATTGTATTGTACTCTCTTGAATAAACAACACAGTCCAAACACAGTCAATAATCACTATAGCAATGGAAAGAAACATGTTGATGTTGACAAATGGGTAACTGATGATATATTATTATAGATAGTAACTACTCTGTATCTGTATTCACTGGTCAACAGATTTTTGTTTTAATTTGGGGCTATTCAGCCTAAATCTGAGAACTTTTCATTTTCTACTTGCTATATATAAAACTATTTCTATCATTTAGACATAGAAAAAATGGTATTTGGCCTAACTTATTTCATCATACAAGCTTGAACTTATTTGTATCATAGTTTAATTCTTTTATTTTATGTTCATTATTATACTTGTGTAACAATTTGAAGTTCCCAGAATTTTATTAAGACTGAATTATAGAAACTTTATTGATACATGCATACAGTAGCTATCCTGCTTTCTAATTAATAAATTTATTGATGAAAACAAAGAACATCTACTAATTCTTACAAATGATAGATTTGTATAAAACCATTTTGTATATTATTTGTATAAAATCTTCTATGCATGAGATTTAATTATGTAATTAATTGAGTTATTTTATTAAAGTTATTGTTAGTGATAATAAGTGTATTAAAACAGTAACCCACTTTTCTGAAATATCTGATTTTACCTTCTTTCCTTCTATCTCATGGTGGTAATTGATAATTTGATGTATTATACATCAATTGGAGCAAAGATAATAATATAAAGTCCAAGTATCAAATAAAGTGAGGACTTCCTGAGATAAAGTATTTCATTAAGTACAAAGGTAAAATATATGAGGGTATAGTCAGGCCATCAGGCCAATCTATACATGCAGCGTAAGTACAACAATAGCCTGATGGTACCTTCAGGCTTCCTGATACCCCCAAATTGCTGTTGTGCCTTTGACTGGATCCCATAAACTTGGGGCCAAGTTTACAAAAAAATTAAATGGCCAAAAGTTAGGTATGTGGGAGCCATGCCCACAAATCACCTTCTGCTGAACTCTATAAGCTCATTTATTGGCCTTATTTCATAGACCTATAAATAACTCTCAAAAAACATCAAAAGCCACAGTTAATCTTGGACCCGTTCATAGCTGAACAGACTAGGGTAAAGCATAGGGGGACATGTTGGCCTAGCAGAGTCCCTGGAAGCAACTTGTTTATACATTCCAAAATCACAATCATTCTCCTGGCCTGAATTCACTGTCTCAGGACAGACCTCACCAAGATATAATCTCCTGAAAACTTGGGTATCAAGTGACTGAAATCTCCAGGCTCTCTTGGAATTGTGATGGGCTCCCTCCCCCCAACCTCCATGTACTTCCAGAAGCCACATCCACACCTCAAAGAAGCCACCCAATTGAAAAGCTACTCCAGCCTTACCATCCTAAAAAAATACTAAATGTCCTGAACAAACACCATGACCTCTTAGCACCTGTACTGCAAACCATAATGCACAAAAGGAAAAGGAGAGAGAAAGAGTAGAATAAAAGTGCCTCCTATAGAGGGAGGCTGGAGTGGGGGTGGAAGGTTTTGGGAGATGGTGGTGGGGAAATGGGGGACATTGGTGGTGGGAAATGTACACTGGTGGAGGGATGGATGCTAGATCATTGTATAACTGAAACCCAGTTATGAACAGCTTTGTTATGGTCTATCTCATGGATGCACTGTAGCACTGTCCTCCCATTGTTGATAGGTTTGCTCAAGCATGCAAGGAAAATGCCCTACCCACTGTGCTATCACTCTAGTGCTTTTTATATTTATTTCAAAATCTAATATTATAAAACAAAGCCATATGTTAAAAGGGAGTAACTTTTTCAATGACCACCAAAAAATTTCTTATGTCTGACACTAGTTTGTTATCCTGTGGTTGAAAACATTTGAATTTGATTATGAGTCATGATATTTTACCTTTTATTTTTTAACTTTATTCAATGTAGGAGTACTGCTATTTATCAGCCATTGATTAAGCTGATTGAATTGGGCAATTAAGCTGATGAACTCCACATTACTTTTTTTAAAACAAATGGGAGCTTAGGCTTATTGGGTTACTCCCATCACAGTGCTCCCAGGCCTCTTTGTTTATTTGTAACCTCTTTATTTGTGCTCTGCTTCCCCAAATGGTCAATTACATTTATCTCCTAATCAAACTCTGTTGACTTGTAATATTGCTTTTCTCTTCTCGTTAAGTCTTTAGCATAGTTAATTCAGAGCAATGTCCTTTTTGTGTGGACACAGGAAGACAGTTAATGCTATGTTTTTGTAACTTGGGAGTTAGTTGACTCCAAATGATATTTACCTCCTGGACATCTGTTCTCTCAACTTAAGCCTCAGTTTCCCTTACTTCCTAGCACCACAAAAGCTGGGTCCCAATGAGGGACTGGATAGACCCAGGGCAAGCTGTGAGCTACGTGCTACCCCGGCATCAAAATGGGCCCAGCCAAAGTGCCATAATTCTTAACTATAAATTAAGAGCATGGTCATGGACAAATGCTGTTATGATCCAAAAAGCAAAAACTAGATTCGGACCCTGCTAGGGTTAGGAAAGATTAATCTGGCCTGAGCACTGTAATCTGAGTCTGTGGCGAGATATTCCCAGGAGAGCCACCCTACAAGCTCAATCTACCTCTTACTGTGTCCATACAAAATAACTAACATTAAGAAGTAGAATTAAGATGTTAATTAAGATGTTAATTAAGTTATTGGACTGAGGAAAGGAGAAAAACACCTGAAGTGGTGTTTTGCCAAAGCAAAGGAGGGCTTTCTTATGTTGATTTTGGTACAGACTGGGTGTAGTGTCTACTCCCTCCCCCCACCCCGTGGTGCTGGGGAGTTGGAGAGAAATGAGAGAGAGAGAGAGAGAGCAAGGCAGCATGATGGAGCGTTGAGAGACTAGAAAGGGGGACAGAAAGGAATGTAGAGGAAGAATGAGGAACAGGCACAGAGGAGAGAGAGAGAGAGAGAGAGAGAGAGAGAGAGAGAGAGAGAGAGAGAGAGAGAGAGACCAGGCTGTGAGATGGAGCATGGAGAGATGAGCAGGAGAGACAGGAGGAGATGGGAATGAAGGGAAGTGTGAGACTAGTATGAGGTGCTTAGAGAGACTGGAGAAGGCGTGTGGGGCGAATGGAATAAACCACAACTGACCAACCAACTGGCTTGTCCCTTGTTTCCTCCTCCATACACCCATCGCATGGCCATCCCGGCTGGGGAGCAGTCCAAGACCACCAAACCCAAGCAGCAAGAGGGAGAGCCTCTGGGGCCTTCCCTAGCCACCCAGAGAATATACACAACCCCATCAAAACTGTGAAAAGAGATGAACAGAAACTTCCTCAAAAAGTAATACAATTGGCCAATAAGCACATGGAAAATTGCTCTGCATCACTACTCATCAGTGAGATGAAAATCAAATATCAAAACAATAAAAAAAAGATCATCACATTCTACAGAGTTTGTCACACATCAAAAAGAACAAGAACAGAGGCCTGCATGATAGTCCAGCAGGTAAGGCGCTTACCTGGGCTTGAGCCCAAGCAGCCATTACGGTCCCACATGCACTGCAAGGAGAGAATCTTGGGTGTAGAGCCAGGAAAATTAAGCTCTAAGCACTCACGGGCGTGGGTCCCTCAAAACAAAAACAACAACATCCCCCTCCCACCAAAAAAAAAAAAAACCAATAACAAGTGCTGATCTGAATGCAGAGAAAGGGACTTTTATTCACTGCTGATGAGAATACCAACTGGTCCAATCATTCTGGAAAACAATATGGACAGTTCTAAAAAACCTAGCTATTGACCTTCTATTTGTCCCAATAACTCCACTTCCTGGAATATACTCCAAAGGCCCAGAAACAAAATGGAGAAATATATTAGCACGCCTATGTTCCTTGTAGAGCCATCTACAATAGCCCAAATGTGGAAACAACATAAGTGTCCAAGAGTAGATAACTGAATAAAGAAACTATGGAACATATACACAATGGAATATTGATTGACTGTAAGAAAAGATAAAGTCATGTAGTTTGCTGCTACATGGAAGGATCTGGTAGCATCATGCAGAGGGAAGAAAACCAGACCAACACTGAATTATCTCATTTATACGTACGATATAAAGTAACATAATGGGGTAACAATGAGTACCCAGATGAACTGGAAAAAAAAGAACATGAGAACTGGTATTTAGTAGAAAGCAGGCCTCTTGAGGAGCTAGGGGATTGGACACTGGAGGGGGGAGGGAAACAGACTGGGGGATGCCTATGGTGGAGATGGAGGGAAACATTCAGTTGGAATCAGGAGGTGGTGCTGCAAGATGATAAAATATTATGTATGAAACCCTATCAGGAACTGTACTGCAAACCACATGTCACAGTCACGGTCCTCCCATTGTTCATCGATTTGCTCAAGCGGGCCCAGTAACG